CTCTTATACAGTTCCAATAGACAGCTACAGAAGAAGAAAAGAGGGTATGGCAACAAAAGGGGGGAACATTTGACCCGGACAAACAGATATGGCTTGAACCCAATCAGAAACCAATCTTAACCTATAGGGGCTCCACTGCCTATGCTTTAATATGTACATGAGCTAACACATTGGGGTCCTGAATAGACGATTTCATGGAGTAAACAATAATACTGGAAACCTCCCGCTGTGCCTCATAAAGTATATAACAGATGTTCAATCTGTCTAAAATATAATCCAGGAAAACCCCTCCATGGGTCCCAATGACATTCCCACTTCCTTTAGGTCCATTTGAGGTATGGCAATTGGATTTTATCCAAATGCCAGCATCTCGGGGATGGATACAAGTATGTATGAGTTATGATTTGTGTGTTTTCGCAGTTGAGACATTTCTTTGCAGGAGAGCAACAGCTTTAACGATAGATAAATTGTTACTGGAGAAAATAATTCTCAATTGGGGAATTTCCTCTGAGTTACATAGCGACCAAGGGACTGATTTCACTGCCAAACAATGCAATCCATACATAACATTTGGCCCATTCTACATCATTTTCATTATGCTTACCACCCCAGTCCTCTGGATTGGTGGAACGTACCAATGGTACAATCAAAATTCAAGCAGCTAAAATTTCAGAAGCTTTTAATCTCCCCTGGGCAAAAGCTTTCTCTACAGTACTCCTCAACCTGAGAGCTGCTCCTTTTCATAAACATAGCCTTTCTCCTTATGAAATAGTCACTGGTTACCCTATGCATCTGGATGAAGGGGCATATGAACCAACCTTACTAACAGGAGACGTTCTACTTTATTGTCAAGGGCTTATTAACCAGCTTAAAAGGACTGATAAACTAACTGATTTCAAAGACCATGGCTTACAACCAGGAGATTTGGTCTATTAGAAAAGACATCAAATAAAAGACTTTCTCCATCCTTATCAGGTATTACTAACTAATCTATGAGCAGCCAAACTTAAAGGAGTTAACTCATGAATTCACATTTCTCACTTTAAAAAGGCACCTGACTACAAACCCCTACTTCTGTCTCTGACAATTGTCTCCACCTACAGCAGACATCAAAGACTTTTCAAGAATGAAAATCCACCAATATAGAAGGCAGACAGCTATCCCAAGACTTCGACAAGGCCTGTATGCCCACAAATGGATGTTGAATTCAAGGACATTTGTTTAATCATTTTTTTTTTGTCTGCTAATAATAATAGTTAAACTTGTTCTTTGACCTCCTCTCAAACTTTACTCTTATATGACCTAATTATTAATGATTGATGAAGATATATAAAATTCTTATATTATTATCCTTATGAAGATTTCCTAATGGAAACAATATCTATCTTCCTGGACCCCCCTCCCTTATTGGATATGAAAATTTTAACTTGGGTAACTGCTAATCTTTACATCTATTAAACAATAATATTTTGATTTTCTGTTATGGTAAAGAAGTGACCACCTTGTTAGCCATGCATTGGGCTTCTCCTACTATAATATAAACTTTGGTATATTTTTCTCTGGATATGTCTATTATAAAGGACCCGTCTTGGGCAAATACCTTCAAGAACACCTCTTTGATAATTCCCAAGGTAGAACTATATATGGATCTAATTTAAATGAGTGTTGTATAGCTATAGAAATGGATGGTTAAAAAAAAAAAAATAGGAAAAATACCTGAGTATGATGCCCTGCAGCAGCCTACCTAGCCTGTTATAGTATATCTTGTCCTCAGATCCACCAGCTCTGCTCTTGTGGCTGTATGCCCATAAAACAGGGAGGGGAAATAAATGGGTCCCCATTTCAGAAATTATTGGAATTACTTGGTCGGTAGATATGTCTGTAGCTACCTCACCCTCCTTGCATCCTGGATGCTTGTGGGAAGCCCTATGGAATACTCAAACTCTAGCTCACTTTGGGGTTACCTGTATTCATTTAACTATGGTATGGGAAACATTTTGGGGTCCATTCAGTATACCCCAATTGCTCTGAGGCCATGGCCAGCCAATGGCAATAACATTCCTGGTAGATCCAATAACATTGGCCCCCTATAAGAAATGAGGGGACTGCTTGGAGGATTAGGGGCTGGCCTTGGTATTTGGGGACAAGCTGAATTTGCAGTTAATGAAGAATCATTTGTTAGAAAACGACTTTATCTAAAATAGGTCATATAGAGGGAATGTTATTTCAAGAAGAAGGAAAAGAATGAGAAGCAGCATGGAAAGATAATGAGGCCTTAGCTCAATGTATAGGACAGACTCAACAGACTATAAAAGCTCATGTACAAACCCAAAGATGGGAACGTGCCTGCACCTTGGCTCAGTAGGGCCTATTATCTATGCTGTTGCAATTGCAATCTGAAGTAGCTGTGAAATAATGGCTGACTATAATAGGTAAAGAAGCCCAGGCTGGACATTTATGGGACTCTTAGGGTCCTCGTGGAATTTGGAAAAATTTAAATAGAAAATGTGATTTATGATGTTGTATCATAGAAGTCCAAACACTTAGGTTAAATTCTAAGCTAAGATTTTTAGTAGTTCAACTGGCTGGTATAGGGACCATTCTTAATAACAGTAGAATAGTTTCAACGGGAAGTAGACAGGCCATATTTAAAAAGTAATAACAAATGGGAACCCGTCTCATTATCTGATTGTGAAAATTGGACAAGTGAATGGTTATGTCCCCAGTCTATATGGAATTCTGAATTTACTCAATCCCGGCCTCTTGTAAATACCCCAACAAATAATAATATGTGGTATATGGGAAGGGGACATTTTGTTGGTAAGGGTTAGAAAACTTTTCTGTTATCCTAAGTGACTTCTATTGTAATGACACCAAGTTTACATTAAATACTACAGGAATATGATGTAATACTGAAATATAAGCAAAATAACTTTGCCTGAGGTTAATGAAACCTATCATAATATTGATACTGAAAATTCAGTATATTGGGGAATTGTACTTAATCCTCCCTATGAAGTCATTTCTACGGAAATTAATTGGTCAGGAGAAAAATTAGAGCTTCTGGATCACGAAATAGTAGAAAGTCTTCATTTATCTGGCCAAACTTATCATAAGGTACAAATGGCAGTAGACAAGGGAGGAAACATTACTAGCTTAATAAAAAATTATGATGATTCATGTAAAGTATTCTTTGGTCAGCTGGGATGTTTGTTTCCCTCAGATTCATCCTTGTCTAGTATTCTACATTTTCTGTTCCTAATCAGTGTTATTGGTTAATACTATTGCAATTGTTCCTGCTATGTAAATGTTGTACTAGACGCAGAAAAATAAAACTTAAGATAAACAGCAAAAAAACTCAGAGCATGTTAGCTCAAAGTTTAAAAATGATCCAGAATATAGGATCTCACTGCTTCCCATTCACCCACCTTTCTGAAAAATTCAGCCTTGACGGCCATCTAAGCTTAGTTTTGCCCCATCTCCAATAGAACACCTGTTCAGCAAGAAAAAAGCTTCCTAGGAGTGAAGTCCCTAACACCGTGGGACCACGTTATCCAACCAAAATGTTGATCATTAATGCATCCTTCGGATCAATTTATGACCAAAATGGAGATTTATGTATGGGGTCATATACTAAACCTGAAAAGCTTAGGGGAGGCCCACATGGCAGACCTTACAAACTCAGAGAGTAAAGTAACCACAGGGGATGGTCTGAATGTAAAAATTCCTAAATAAAAGTGGGTCACTATGGGTAGTCACATCTTAGGCCCTTACCTTCCTTGAAAAAAGTCAGTCATTGACTTTGAAGTTGTCTATTGTCTTTGTACATCCAAGATAACATACTTTTAAAATGTAATCTTTTCTAGACCCCTTAAAGGCACAACCACCTGCACTGATGCACAGGACCGTAGTGTTATCTTGTTGCCCACATCCCATCTCTATGTGCTGTAAATATTAACTATCCTGTACCCACCAATGTAAAAGAAGTCTGTCTCTCCATTTTGTTTTTTAAGCCAGTCTCAGAGATTTGCCGGCTTTGCTTTCTCCTGCCTTCCTATTCTACTAACAATAAATTTCATGTAACAGCCCCCCACCCCCGCTTTGATTCCAATATATAAAATTAGCTGCAAAAACTGCCATTCTCCAGAGCAATATCTCAATGTGTTGAGATTCTGCTTCCCAGCAATTGTCAGTTTGGCTTCAACAAACTCTTACAAGACTTTTTCTTAGGCTGAACTTTCTTCCATTATTACCATTTCACAGAAAGTGAAACTGAGGCACCAGGAGGTCAGGACCTGCTCAAGGTCACAACTACGTCAGTCCCACAGCACTGACATCCCACAAGGAGCTGTCTGCTCTTCCATAGCCAGCCTAGTTTCCCGGCCATCTCTACCGTACTAAACTGCTCTGTCACTCTGAAGCAGGACTTCATTGGTGAAAGTGAAAGAAGAGGAAGAGAAAACCGTCGCTTTAAAGTCCAGAAAGAATATGGGGACCCACACGCAGATATATTTCCTGGTCATGGTTACTCAGCACTTTGTGGGGATCATGGGGCTGATGGGCGGGGGCGCGGCGGGCCTTTACCATGAACTCAGCCCCGCCTAGGCGGCCTCTTCTCGAGCCTGGCAGCATTCTATTAAGGCGTGGCTGACCCCTTCCCAGGTGACACTGTGGCTCTGGGGTTGGCCCTCCCGCCTCCCCACGCTGTTCACAGTGCATGCGCCCTTTAGGTCGCTCCTAGCCCCCACAGAACCCCACTCCCAGCTAGGGTGACGAAAGGGGACGCCGCCGAGGGCTCCGGGCCCAGTGGGTTTCTGGAGCTTTGAGCCGCGTCCTGCAAGCCCCACCCCCAACCCCGCCCCCGGCGGCCGTCCCGCTTCCCTCCGGCGGCTCCCTCCGGGGAGGCGGGGCCTGGTCCAGCGTCGCGCAGGAGG